TGTGGTGTAGTGCCTCTAGTGGCTGCAGGGGTTAAGTGAACGAGCTGCATTCAATCAATTATTTCATTTGATGTGCTATTAAGAATGCCCACTGCCTGAAGGGCTGCCCATAATATGACCTACAAGGCTGCTGACCTACAAGGCACTCAGTGGGTTAGCCTCACACCTCCGATTAGCACGGTTGGCTACGTACGGTGCGAAATAACTTCCACATACATACATTTACAGGAACTGATCTATCTAAAGACTCCGACGGGGTCCCTGAGATCTTAGAAATCGCCATCTTATAAGCACTCCAAAGTCGAGGCTCATTTCCTAGGGTAATTGGGATTTTGCCAATACAGCTCCCAAGCTTTGTAACGCTTTGCCTTGGCTAATAAGACAATCAGAATCGTTATGTATATTTAAGTCTTTATATTTACTGGCTTTTACCCCCTCCTAGTTCTGGCTGTCCGTTCACCCTGCAGATTCTGTTTATTTCCTGTTTTCCATTCGCAGCACATTGGAATCTACGGATGAAATGCACCTTACAAATGCAAATTATTATCACGTTTTTTTTTCCCTTTCAAAGGCCCAACGGCGTTATCGACGAATGTATTGAGTTAGTAGTCGCGTGCAGCATATATGCATCTTAAATACTTGCTTATTTTGTTGAACCGGGGAAAACTCAATACACCAGCCCGAGTCTCATTTGCAAGAGGGGCCCGAGATTTTTCCACGCGCACGATCAGCGTGCAGTCGCACGGGCAGTCGCCGAAACTCGCGAACGGGTTCCGTTTCCCGAGAGCCGTCGGCAAGTCGACCGGTTCGTAAGTCTCAACAACAATAATTGAGTGTATTTGAACGGACGGGCGGCCGTTGTAGCGCAATGTCGCGCACCGCTGTTGCGTCTCACGCGGGATGCCAGGGACTCGTTGCATCTCGCGGAGGGTCGCTGCGCCGAACAGAACAATCACGCGGTTCGGTTTCGCCAATTCGAAAGTCGGGAAGATTTAAAAAAAAAAAATGCGTACGCCTTGCATGGAAGCCCTCTTGTAAGTAGGGATGTTCATAAGTAAGGGGACTGCCTATATTCATCTATTCCTATTTAGGAGTCAATGCATCGTCACATCAATAGGAACAATTAATTACCCCCACCCCACCCCCCACCTAAGGGATTCGATACATTGTTAAAACTCCAGGTCGCGGTTTTTCGGTTGAGCAATGTTATATTCATTTTTGTTTCATGTGTTGCCGTGGCTTTTCCTTTATTGGTGTTGCGTCTTTATAGTTTTTTTTTTTATTTCCCAAACCGTTGCCATAAATGTAACATGAGCATATAATGAACGTATATTCATAAATAATTGAGCGTCGTGTATGTGTATTGCGATTGTAAATGTAAAGCAACAACAACAACAACATTAATTGACGTATCAATCATTACATGCCGAATATGAATGACCAATTACGTTGCCCATTCGAGGCTTCATCATATCCGAGCTCAAAACGCTGCTTAGCTTCGGCGGTGATTTGGGCATAGGCCACTCGGAGAGAGCGCGGCGCTCACACAATATATATGAAGAGAGGTCGACATCCTACTTGCTGTACTACCGTCGTGTGGCCACCTGGTTGGGTATCACACACTGAAGTGTCCAAATGATAAGCCACTTTGCTGAGCCGTCATTTGTGGCCAGGTCATTTCTGAACGATAAGTTAATGCGTCAGTGGGCTTTGCCTTGTTAGGATGGGGATGGGTTATTGTTGTATTTGTTTGTGTCAGGGTGATTTGTTTGCTTGTCCTTTGTACTTTGCACAACTATCCACGCGTTTGTACTGTTGATTGTTGTAACATTCTTACCCCGGTGCCCCGACTGGACGTCTGTGAGAAAAGAGCTTCACAGCTCATCGTATTCCTCTTGCAGTGTCAATACACATTCCGATTCCGATTCCGATGATGATGATGGCAGCATATCTTTGCTTCATTGCCATCACTTATTTTATTTCCATTACCCTCTGTCGTGTAGGTCACTCGTGCAACCGAGAGACCTCCATTCCTCGTCGCGTGACTTCTCACCCTGGTTTAACAAAATAAACTTGACTTGACTCGAGCATCATCGATCTGCACAGTGCACACGCTGCAGCACTGCGCCAGCGTGCCCAGCCAGGAGGGCAGAAGTTAGTCGTGGTCGGCAGGTAGAATAGTTCCTTAAAGAGACGTCAAGGCATAATTCCCAATAGGCCACAAATGTGTCTCAGTTGGCATAGGGTGATCCAACATCGAATATGTTTCATGTAGGGCCACGGTGACATACGAATGTCGTTCAGCATTTGGTGCCACGTACGATAGCTCGTAATAATACGAATAGATTTTGTTGCATTCATAATGGCGCTGAAATGCCCCTAGAAAGTGATTCACATTACGTGTCATCTCAAGCATCGAAAGGGCACCCCCCCGTCCCCCCCCCCCCGAGTGGCAGCTGTTCCTGCGTGGCAGAAGGTGAGTCAGCACCGGGCCTGTGAGAGCTACCAGCACGGCGTGATGATTTGCGGTCTTGTAATCCCGATTCATTGACTTAGATCACGGAGGTAATTAGGTGCTCAAAATTCCAAAGATCGCGGTCCAATGAACATGTCCGTGACTTGTCCATGCACGTGACCCTTTCTGCGAGGGTTGGTTTTCTCCGGGTACGCTGCGATCTTAATGAAGACAAAGATCCATCCCTATAGCCTTAACAGACTGTTGGGGCAAGTGCTGTTAGCGAGCACCTATGAAGGCCGGCACGGGTACACAAGGGGGAGTAGGTGGCCAGCACCACACCAGGCCGCCTTTGTCTCCTCATTTGCGATGATGTTATATGCCGCACCAGGTACTGAGTCGACCGAGGGGAGGCCCAGGACCAGTTCAGATAATCGTCACTGGTTTTGGCCGTTAAGCGAGAATCGAACTCGGGTCGCCGGGTTTGTAACGCAGCACGCTAAACGCTACCCTACTGCTCCACAAAAAGACAAAGATCCCCCGTATAGCCTGAACAGACTGTTGGGACAAGTGCTGTTAGCTCCACACACACACACGCACCCGCAACATGCTGGCAAAGTAATTGCGTACACATCTCAAGCAGAACCTTCGCTCAATAATTTAAGTTCTGAGTGACACTTTCCCGGATAAACAAGGACATGCTGAAAGTTAATTGAGACGTAATTTGCAAAAAGGATATTACTGAAAAGGTACGTTAAAAAAAATGTACTGACGTGGCACGCAGGGGCAATGGAATGTTCACAGTTTTACCCCCGAGGGCTCATGAATGCGCCCGGGAGATGTGTGTGTGAGTGATGGGCATCGTCGCAGAGCCGAAATGCTCATCAAATTGTGCCGCGTGTACAAACCGTTTGCCATTAATGAGCATGATATTGACATCGTAATGAGTGCAATTCCAACACCTTTTCTCATCAAGACCTCAAGTCGAATTGTCTTGACTTTCAAACCCTATTTCACCCCTGTCATTGTGCAGAACATGCCTATCATAGCTCTACTTCGGTCCATTATATTATACATGTGCCATTATGCACATCACGGCGTTGTCTTGTTTGTATGGCGTTTAAAAATGAGAATAAAGATAAAATGTCGCGTTATTACCATTTTATTCCGATTATGCTCTCGGTGTTATGTCACGAGACAAAGAATCCATTCGGATCTCTCACAACAGCAGTACATCTCTCAATGGAAGACAATGACCCACAGAAGCGGATATCAGAGAACTACTACTGAGGTCTTTTTAAGTGATCTCTGGTCCGCACAATAGGGGGGCAGCACTTTCCTACCCATCCTGCCAGAGAGAATAATGTTTGTCACATGACAGACAAACCAATGTTTTTTTTTAAATTCTCAGAATTTAGTCAAATTAAGTGACGAGACAAATTTTATTTGATGGGTTTTTTGCGCAGTACTCGGTGACCAGGCTAGGATAATCAACAGTACACTTGATGACCTGGTTTTAATCAGGGGTGGTTCCTGGATTCGAACCCACGGTTTCAGAGGAATCAGCTAAGCACTGTGACCTCCAAGCTACCCGGCCACCTAAAAATATATAACATTCAGTCAAAGTGTCTTCATGCACAAGTTAATGGTTGACTGCTGCTCATCTCTGGAAATGGCCTCATTATGTAAATTTTATAATTCTACGTTGGTACTTAGGATATTCTTATATTTTAGTTGAAGTTTATTTCCCTGTATGGAAAATGTATCTTAGCCCAGGTCCTCCTGATATTGTCATTGGGTTTCTTAATTGTTTATAAATAAAAGCAGTCACTCATTCAACAATCAACATTTTAAGCAATTTCTGTTGACTGCTTTCCAAGCACGGTGGACCTCATCATTCATCAGGCGGTCCTTGTGTTACCGATCCCCAGAGGAATCATTGGTGATGGTGATGACAACGTTGATGAAGAGTTTCCACCATGGATTTCGGGAATGCCAACAGCGACACACACCACACGCTAAATAAACAGTCTCACAGTACGCCTCCTTCACATACCCCTCCCTCCATATGAATCATCAGTAGTTTTTTTTACACATCCTATCGGCCACACACAGCCTTCTGGGAGTGGCAAAAAAACTATCAGCGGCATTGGTTCAACACAAGCAAAGCTCTGGACCCGGTTTCAACATTCAGGGTCTCATCAGCAGAGTCAGACTCTGCTTGAACCAATGCTGGTGAACTGCCCAGATGTATTTTGGCAAGGACCCTCTCTCTAAGATACGGTTCCAAGTTCGACACAAAAAAACACTGCTCTTTTGAGCATGGAGCCCACCTCCACTTTCATGACACGTGACATATACTGTATGGACGTTTTTGTTATAATCATGAATAACTTACAGCCCGGTCTGAACCTTCTGCTGATGCAAGGCCTCCTCCCCAAGCCAGCTGTGTCGTGGCTGTTGGTTGTGTATTTGTGCAAATGTTATTCACGCGTTTTGAACGAGTCACTAAGATGAATGCGTTGTGCGTTTCTCCGTCTTTCAGATTTTTCTTCATGTACCTGATCAATAAAGATGAGACGGAGCACACTGGACAGGTAAGGAAGGCTTAAGAACTCACGTAATCAATGGATTACAATCGATGTAAAAAAAAGTTGTTGCCCCTTTGCGTCCGTAATTAAAATGTTTCCCGGTAGACGTGCTTTTCCTCGGTAGTACACACTGATGCAAACGCCACTGTTGCACGGCACGTGCTACAAACGCGCGTTTTAATAGCCAATTAATTCGTACGGAAAAATATTTGACATTCCGGAAAGGAGGGTTAGGGGATATATAAAAAAAAACTTGCAGCGGCTGGACGAACTCCGTTTTAACTTTGTGGGAACGAAATTATTTTTAAAATTGTATTATATATATTTTATAATAATGAAACAAATCATGTACTGCCCCTTGTCAATCTGTTATGCACTCATTATGGTTTTTAAAACATCCTTTATGCTATTTAACGTGATATTATGTAACTGTGATAATCGTGCTTGGCCTCGTTACTCCACTGCTGGATGAAGGCCTCCCCACACGGTACCTACATTATTATTGTGTCTGTTACGTAATGCTTTTTAATTGAAATTCTTGGTTTTATAAACATTTTAAAAACACGTTTTCTTTTTTTTACTTACAATATTTTGGCTGCCAAATCAACTGTCGGAAGCCAGTGAATACAAATCCTGGTTGGTGAACGATTTAACCCATCAGTCTTTTGGGGCTGAGAAAAAAAAGGATCACTTTGTATTGACAGCTTTTTAGTCATCTTATGGAGAGAATTACCTCTGCCATGGTATTGAGGAATTAACACCATTACCTCATAGCTTCCAGTGGATGCCTCTTGCCACAGTGGCGAGATGTTAACTACCTCGCAAGGTATACAGGAGGTCGTGGGTTCGATCCCGGCCCTGACGCCTGCTGTATATTTGGAGTTTTCGTCTCTCTCCCCGTGGTCACGTGGATTTTTCTCCGGGGTCCTCCAGTTTTTCCCTCCACACTTAGAAACAACTTTCGTTTTAGAGGACTTGGCTGCGATCAATTTCCAAAAGTTGATAAGCCGCTTCATTGAGCGATCATCTGTGTGGCCAGACAGCTTCTTGGAAAGAGCTACATAACCGAGTGAGCCTTACCTGGCAAAATAAAAATAGTAAGTAAACAAATAATAACAGTAATGTTCTGCCTCTGTCATTCATTTGAGCAGGGAGATATTTTAAATTTAACTCAATTGACACAAAAGCAAGTTGTCATTAGAGTGGCAGCCAAGGAAAAAAGAAAAGCATCCGAGAGAATGTCCACCAGGGAGATGGAGCGATGAAATCAGTTGGTGTTCGGGTGGTGCCGCGTGGATTGTTGCGTCGCACGATCGTGAGGGGTGGCGGCAGCGGCTTTGGGGGAGGCCTTCATCGTCATCGTCCAGCAGTGGATCCACTGCTGGACGATGACGATAACGGTTGTGAAGTGGTCATCATGAATAAAATAAACAAAAATCTGTGATTACGCACGGCACGCACGCGTTCATCCTGCAAATGAGGACCCCCTCGGCCCCTTTGTTTATTTCCGAAGACAGAAATTGTCAGTGGCTGCACAGTGATCCCATGGGACGGTTAGTGGAGAATATTAAAGCGAAAGGTAATTGGGTAGTTAAAGATAATTAGGTGATGACCTGGGGATTTATATTACGTTTTGTCACATTCTCCGTGAGTCTTTGGTGCCTGTCCTCATGTGAGCTCTCGTTATGAAAACCATGGATGTTAACGATTACCCGGTTTATTGGTGAAAATCGATGTTTCAGCCCAGAATACATGCACGTGCAAGGATTATTTGAAGTATTTTGAATGTGTTTGTTTATTATTGCAATATACCCCCTTCAACCTCCAATGGTGGAGAGGCATCTCCCTCTCTCAGACAACTAACTCTGTCCACAAACTGGTACTTATTTTATCAACCCCAGAGGAATGATTGGCTGACAGGATATAATAGCATCACTTCACTGGGATGTGAACTCACAGCAATGCAATGAGGTCGTGAGTGGAACGCTATGACCACAGCAGGCTATCAAGTTTCTGCTTCGGTGAACATATACAAAGAATAACAGGTTAATTCGAGACAATAACACCTTATTTTGATTCACTGTCTGTGAAGAACGGAGGATCTTGACCCTTTTGGCCAATTAGCCTCTTAAGTGAGCCGAAATGTCAAAATCTTAATTTTGTCTCGTTGGTATTCTTGCTTCTTTCGGTAAAGTCCCTTAGAAGGGAAACAATAAAATAATAAAAATATAATACAATTGTTTTATTTTTTTATTGTTTCCCTTCTACGCGACTTTACCGAAAGAACCAAGAATATGAATCCCTGCAGTCACGAAAGCTTTAAATAAAAATGTGTCTCGTTGGTTATATAAAAGAACAAGCCTATTATTACTGTTACCAGGGACCTGCCACAGCAGCGCAATGGTTAGCAGCACAAGTGACCTTGCAATCCAGAGGTCACCGGTCATATTACATCTCTCGGGGGGGGCAAGCAGTTTAAAGTAATGGGCAAAACGTCTTAAAACTGAGAGTTCCCCGGGCCGCGCGAAGAGTAGGCCAAATATATATTCCAGCTCGCCACGCCGTGGAGGGGGGGGAGGGGGGGCCGCCCAGAATCCGGACCCAGAGATTCTCAGCACGGCCGGCTGGGTGCTGGGCCACAAGCCATCGTGTGCCGCGTGAGCCACCTCTGGGCCCGTTGCGGTTTCCTCCGCGAGCTTCCTCATCGTACGAGTCGGTCGGGGCGTGGCATCAACGGCTTCCCCTTGATTGCGTCGCCTCTTGCGGTGACGTGTGGTTTTTTTTGTTGTTGTTGGTGTGTGAGTGTGGATGTGGAAACGTAGGGACTTGATTATATCGCGTTCGTGGGGTGAGGATTATTTAAAAAGAGGAACCTCCCTCCGGAGGTGAACCCAGTGGGTACAACAGTGCGTTGCAACGGGGCCCTTTATTAATATTTGCTGATGGTATTTCACCAGCACTCATTCGCAATTTAATTAAAATGGCATTTGCTGAACCTTGAGAGAGATGGAGAGAGATGGAGAGCGAGAGCGAGGAGTATGAGAAGCGCTGTTCGATGCAAGGGAGTGATACAATGAGTTTGATGCAGAGGGAGATGAAAGAGACAAATATTCACGTAAGAGCTGCTCGCCCTCCAGCTACAGCTACCACTGATCTCCTTACAGCTACAGCTACCACTAATCTCCCTACAGCTACCGCTCATCACCCTACAGCTACCACTAATCACCCTACAGCTACCACTAATCTCCCTACAGCTACCGCTCATCACCCTACAGCTACCACTAATCACCCTACAGCTACCACTAATCACCCTACAGCTACCACTAATCACCCTACAGCTACCACTAATCACCCTACAGCTACCACTGCTCGCCCTACAGCTACAACTAATTACCCTACAGCTACCGCTAATCACCCTACAGTTACCACTAATCACCCTACAGCTACCGCTAATTACACTACAGCTACCACTAATCACCCTACAGCTACCACTAATCACCCTACAGCTACCACTAATCACCCTACAGCTACCACTAATCACCCTACAGCTACCACTAATCACCCTACAGCTACCACTAGTCACCCTACAGCTACCACTAATCACCCTACAGCTACCACTAATCACCCTACAGCTACCACTAATCACCCTACAGCTACCACTAATCTCCCTACAGCTACCGCTCATCACCCTACAGCTACCACTAATCACCCTACAGCTACCACTAATCACCCTACAGCTACCACTAATCACCCTACAGCTACCACTAATCACCCTACAGCTACCACTAATCACCCTACAGCTACCACTAATCACCCTACAGCTACCACTGATCTCCCTACAGCTACCACTGATCTCCCTACAGCTACCACTAATCACCCTACAGCTACCACTAATCACCCTACAGCTACCACTAATCACCCTACAGCTACCACTAATCACCCTACAGCTACCACTAATTACCCTACAGCTACCACTAATCACCCTACAGCTACCACTAATCTCCCTACAGCTAGCACTGCTCTCCCTACAGCTACCGCTCATCACCCTACAGCTACCACTAATCACCCTACAGCTACCACTAATCACCCTACAGCTACCACTGCTCTCCCCACAGCTACCACTAATTACCCCACAGCTACCACTAATCACCCTACAGCTACCACTAATGACCCTACAGCTACCACTGCTCACCCTACAGCTACCGCTAATCACCCTACAGCTACCACTAATCACCCTACAGCTACCACTGCCCTCCCTACAGCTACCACTAATCACCCTACAGTTACCACTAATCACCCTACAGCTACCGCTAATTACACTACAGCTACCACTAATCACCCTACAGCTACCACTAATCACCCTACAGCTACCACTAATCACCCTACAGCTACCACTAATCACCCTACAGCTACCACTAGTCACCCTACAGCTACCACTAATCACCCTACAGCTACCACTAATCACCCTACAGCTACCGCTAATCACCCTACAGCTACCACTGCTCTCCCTACAGCTACCACTAATCACCCTACAGCTACTACTAGTCACCCTACAGCTACCACTAATCACCCTACAGCTACCACTAATCACCCTACAGCTACCACTAATCACCCTACAGCTACCACTAATCACCCTACAGCTACCGCTAATCACCCTACAGCTACCGCTAATCACCCTACAGCTACCACTAATCACCCTACAGCTACCACTGCTCTCCCTACAGCTACCGCTAATCACCCTACAGCTACCACTAATCACCCTACAGCTACCACTAATCACCCTACAGCTACCACTAATCACCCTACAGCTACCACTAATCACCCTACAGCTACCACTAATCACCCTACAGCTACCACTAATCACCCTACAGCTACCATTAACCACCCTACAGCTACCACTGCCCTCCCTACAGCTACCACTAATCACCCTACAGCTACCACTAATCACCCTACAGCTACCACTAATCACCCTACAGCTACCGCTAATCACGCTGCAGCTACCACTA